AACCTGGTGGCTATTGGGGAATTAGGGCTATGAGCTCTTTCCAGCCGCGTGTAGCGGAGCCCCAGGCCAAGCATTTCAATGACTTGAATATGCGCTCCCATTCCTTCATGACTGCTGATGTAGCATAAACTATCCTCCCCCCCCCCGCCTGGCTCGAAACATTCATAAGCTTTCTGCCATTGCTCATGCAGAAGCTTCTGAGGGTGGAGACGTTGTTCGCTTAACCGCAAGCGTTTTGAAGTGCAGCTTTTTAGCATGAGTTATCTCACACCTTGGCTTTTCACCCGCGCTTACAAGAACAAATCTTGAACACCCAAATAGACGGCACCCATTTTATATGCTCCGCCTAGACTCCTTGGAGGTTCATGTCAAGTTTTAGGAACCCACCTAAAGGTTAGCTTGGGAGCTGTCCGACTGATTACCCACCTATAACAAACCATGAACCTGCAAGTGCGGCCTTTCCCGGATTCTGAGCCTGCGGCTGGGCCCTCTCAACGCATTCCATTGCTGTTGTGACTCTTGTGTTCATCGTCACATGTCATGGAGGCTTCAAAGTTTAAACGCTTCCACCAGAATGTCGCAGCGAAGCGAAAAGCTAACAGAACTGAGATCTCCCACTCAACCTCTTGTGGGCCGGGTTTTTATCTAGGAATGGGTCTATAGGACGGTCGCTTTCGGACGATTTCGTAGCCCACAACATGTGACGTACTTTCCTCCAAGCCCCATGGTAAAAACCTCCCTCATTCTAAGACGGTCAGCTGAACATCATGCTTCCCTATGCTCAATATGAGAAGAAATTTCCAAAAAAATGGAGAATACCATTTTTGGGTTTCCCATAATAAGGATTTCAGTATATTGGGTTCCATATAGAGGTCCCTCAACTACCAAATCCATCCAACAGCGAGGACCACAGCCTCCTCATCATCGTCCTTGACAACGCAAAGCTTGGGAGGGTGGCCTTTGGATTTGAGGGCGTTTCTGGCTCAGTCGTAGGGTTGAGGGTTTAGGGGTTTAGGTGACTTATATAGCAGCACCTTAAATCACGGACTCAGTGGCGTTGGTTATACTGCTGAACCGCCTGCAGGAACTTTCACATGGGAAGCATGCCAAAACATGCTCCACATCCAGTGCATGGCTCGCAAGCAGGCTTTCAAAGCATTCCGAGCGTCATATCACTACGCCCATTCGAAGCCCAGCAGTTTACCAGCCCATTTGCTCACAAGGATTTCCACTGTGTTGAAAAGTCCAAAACAGAGTTGCTACAACTTTGGCCCATGCATGCGTGTCATGGCCCGACATTTCCGTGAGTTCCCACATTCATGGCCTACCGAGAGGGCACCTTTTCAAACGTGCCTACAATGGAAAGCCTTGAGTTGATCTGGCTCTGAGGCATTGGGCTGCGATCTTGGACCCACTCCTGATTTCGCTGCCATTGGCAAAGCCTATGGCGGCAACGGCGTGAAGGCGGATTATGCCGAGGATTTTGCTTTGCTCGAGTTCCGTGTTTCCAAGCAAGGTTCAACCGCCCCAAAGCCGTGCCCTTGTACATAGACGGAACTAAACTAAACCTTATAGATTGTACTTTTTCGATTTTCCTATATAACCTAACATTACCCCTAGATTAATCATGAGTCATCATCTCCCCACCCCAACTTCTTCTGGGGGTATCAGGGATATGCTGGATTCTTCCTAGGGAAGAAGCCTCTGACACAGTCAGCCCTGCAGCCGGTAGGTTGCGAAAGCCGAAGAGCTACCAGGCAGAGCTGTCAGAAGAACCAATTGAGTAGTATTTTATTTGGGGATACTATGGTACCCAATAATATGGGGTTTAGGGCCCTATAATGGAGAATCAAATGGACGAAAAGAAAATGGAAAATGACCTGGAAACTGGGATTATATGGGGTTATATTGGGGATATAGTATTTATTTGGGGATACTATGGTACCCAATATAGAGTAAGATTATATCCTCCTTTTGGGGTCTAGTATTTTATATGAGGAATATTATCTTACTAGGTTTAACCACCAAAAAACGCTACTCAATTGAGTTTTTTTCATCGTCCTCAAACGTTGGATAGACCCAAAGGAAGTCGGGTATTCCGTGTTGCATGGTCAAGTCTACGTCAGGAAGACGGTAGCAGGGGGCATGCGGGATCTCAGCTGTTATCACGAAAGTACGTTAAGCGAATCTATACTTGTCGGTCTACATAGAGCAGTCGCGAAGTTACTGTTCGCCATTGTGGACAAGCACCAGTATCAGGTCCAGTAACGTAGATATACGTAGACATTCGTAGACTAGCGGTGTTGATCATCAAAATGTACTGCATTCTAAACCCTAACCATTAACAGCTGCCCTGTTTTTTGCGTGCCGCGATACATAGGGATACTGAGTAGACTCCCGAGGAGACTTCACAGCGGTCCGCATTGAGGATTATATAGGCAATAATCTTGATAATTCCGATACGGAGGACATCTCACACCACTTAGCATTCGTAAAGCATTACTCAGCATACGCAAGGCAGTTTAAGATTTCCTCCATCCACGGTGGCACGTAGAGGAAAGATAAAGCAATGATATGCAATGATGCCGCCGCAGACGAACCTCTTGGTCGTCATCATGATTGTCAGAACAGCCAGTAAATTGCACCGGTACTAGTGTGATTACCAGTAGAAGCAAAAGAAGAATATTCTGCACTATTTTGGGAATGCCCCCAAATTTGGGGGTGTACCTTTTTGGTGGTTTCTATAAAAAGGATTATTTTGCGGTCTATATTGGGGTCCCCCTGTTTAGGGAAACTACCATTTCTTGCAGGCGCCATGGACGAAGCCTTCAAGTCGAAGGGAATTTTTGTCCTCCACGCCTGCCACCTAGCTTTGCGCACGACACCTTGTGAGCAGCTACAAAGGCAATATTTTTTAAAGGGGATTATATAGGGGACCATAATAGGGGTTATTCAGCAGTATATGTAAGGAGTTGGGACTATTGCTCATAAGAGTTTTGGAGCCAGTCTTGCAGCTCAAAAGCGCCAACATGTGCCAACGCCATGAAGATGATGCCTCCTGAACGCATAACTTTATCAACGTTCCCACGATTTTGATGACTCCACACAGATGCCCAGGAGTGATTCTGTCAGAGGGACCAAACAGAACATAACTGCTGTGTGTGAGGTTCTCATTGATCCAGCATTGAAGGCAGACATGGCCACTTTCCAGGACGGCCTGTGGGTCTAGCAGTAGGGCTCCAGGGCTCTTATTTCTACAGGGTAATCCCTCCCCCAAAGAATATCCCCCCTGGACAACACATTATCATGGCACCTACATTGGGGAATAATGTGGGTAGAGAATCGCATAAGGACACTGGTAGACGAAGTATTCGAGGCGATGAACCGCTGAGCAAAGTATGGGCATGCCGCAGGACAAGTCGATCGCCATGATGGACAGCGGCTGAGCACGCCATGGCATCATCAAACTTTTACAGGGGATGGCCGTTTCTGCCAGATAACTCGCTAAAGAGAAGAAGTAGATGAGGATGGACTGTGATGAAGAAACTTGCAACACTGCAACAACAAATCAAGCCTTGCTTCACGACGGATTTTGCAGAAATGGGCGTCTCTGTGCGGTGTGCTCTGTTTTTCACAGTTTGAGCCCTGAAAGCCAATTCATTTCCTGTTTGGAGACGCATGCAAACATGCAAGAACAGCCAGTTCCAAATCTGTTCCGGGTTTTAGATCTCAGGCTAGCATGGCAGTGTTGTTTCGCTGGTGCCAGAGGTTCTCGCATGCTTTGCGTGTGTCCTGTAGAGACGCAGTGCGCGTCGTCTCTGATACATTGTTTCAGATATTTATCTGGGCTGCGTTGCGAAAGAACACTGAATGGTTCCACCTCCTTTCACAAAGACCCTCATTTTTTTTGACAGGTTCGCTTGCACAACCCAGTAATAAACGGAAAGCACTTGTCATGCTTCTGCGGGAGGCAGACGCGTGGTTCCGTTGCAGAAAAGGTAAATACTGCTGCTGCCGCCGCCGCTGCTGCTGCTGCGGCGTGAACATGAGAAGCAACGCCACGTGACTGTGGCATATGTTGTAGCGCTCATGGCGGTGGATGCAGCCATCAGTCAATCGTAGCAACATGCACCAGAGCAAAAGCCATGGAAATGAGAGCAGTAATGACTTCGATTGTCGGTAGACTAGTGGTGCTGGCAGCCACAAAGCAGCGATAGCAGAAGTGCTGCCCTCGCAACAGTCCAAGAGCGGCCAGTCAAGAAGATTGTCCAATGCACATCAATGCACCGTTAGAGGGGTGATTGTCGTTATGTAGTGGGGTACTCAGTAGTACTGCTCCAAGCTTAAAAACTTAAAGAGCGTTTTTCGCCGCCATGGTTGAGGATGGTTGGTGAGGGCCAACTCCCAGGCGAGCAGTAGCATGATAAAGGTGATACCGTAGTCCCTGATATGCGAGTTTCCCAAAATTAGGGGTACCCTTTTGGGTCCCCATAGTAAGGATTATAGTATGTGGGCATCTATGTTGGGCTTCAGGGAAGCTACCATATGGAGTGAAAATACAATCACTTTTGCCTCGTAGCATTTTGCCAGCAGAATGCTCCCAAGCTTCAACTGCTAAACAGGTGATGGCCAGCAGCGGCAGTGCGCTTCGGCAGCCAACTTCATCTTCGTAGATGATGCTGGTCTTGAGCTGCCGGGTTGCTGTTAATGTTGGCCCCGCTTTATGATATGTAGGGACCCCCCCAAACAATTTTTGGACCCTGAATTAAAATTGTTTGAGGGGTCTCAGCTGAATCCTAATGGTATTAGTATTGGTACTAGTATTAGTATTAGTACTGGTTAAGAATAATTTCTATTCAACACATTTTTTTTTATCTTTTCACACCAAAAAAATTATTAATTTGCCACCCAAAATTTGACATTAAAGAGTGTCCCCAAAACATATCCAAATCCTGAATAAGCCCCCAGAACTTGACATTAAAGAGGGTCCAACATTAAGAAACTCAAGTTACTAGAATAAGGAAGCCTATTACCTACTACATGCCCATGTTTATGGCAACCCCGCTGACGAACCCGAGTCTGCGCGAGAGAGAGAGAGAGAGAGAGATGGTAACCCTAAACCCCAAACCCTAAATCCAACCCTAAACTTTAAACCCATATGAACCTCAAACCCCTAACCTTAAACCTACCCTAAGCCTTGAACCCTCAATCCTACATACCCGTATGATGGTAGCTTAACAGCAACCCAGGCTGCAGATGGCTGGAGCTGAGCCCAGTTGTGCAAGCGGTGACAGGGTAGCGGAGGTCAGCTTTGGGTATATGGATATAAGGTTTCTATAAGGGTTTAGGGTTATGTAGGGATTATATAGGGATAATGGAAAGAAAATGGAGGCTACTATTTAGGGTTTAGGGTTTCGGGCTAATAATATATATATATATAAATAGGGTTGGTTATGTAGGGGTTATATGGCAGTTTCCCAAAGTAGCCCCAGGATAGACCCCAAGAATGCTGTAGTCCTTGCTATAGGGACCTCCAGTAAGGTATTTTGGGAAACCCCCAGGTCAGCTTCGAAGCCCAGGAGTTTGCAGAGCCTCTGGAGGAATGTGACGCCTTAGGAGTCTACGAGCTTCCCAACACTCAGTTCTGGAGAACAACATCTGAGATCCACATTCTATTGCGAAGACCTGCCGCGAAAGCGCGGAAGAATAAATGCCGGGGCATTCTGCTGATGTCGTTGGAGCGTCGCGAAGATGCTGAAGAAATCATCCGCAGCATGTGGGAAAAGCTGGGGTCAGCAGACAGAAGTGCTGTGAGTAGCCTTGCTACATACAAGGCCAGGAAATGGAAACTACTGTAATGGGTTATATAGGGGTTTTATAGGGGTTAGGGTCTCGGGTTTGAGGGTTCGGGGTGCTAGGTTTGAGGGTTTAGGGTTGCCCATAAGTTGCATGTACCTCCCCAGTTCCTAGGCCTGATCTTGAAGGGTCCTTATGGCCCTAGAGCACCCTTGCCCTAAACCCTCTAAACCTTACACCGCGGGAGCAACGGGAGGCTTTACGCCTGCTACTGGGGGTCTTGTCGGAGACTGAGAGCAGCCCGTACGCGCTGGCGGCAATATTCAAATATGTGGCTCGGAAGACTTATTGGGGTGGTAATTATGGTATAAACCCTCAAGATCGGAGAATCAAATGGAAAGCCAATGTCAAATAAGATGGAAACCAGGGTTTAGGGTCGACTTACTGGGGGTTAGTAGGGGATCTGGGAATATATTGGGGTCATAGGCATAATGGAAAATGGAAACTACTATATTACAGGGTATATATGGGGGTTAGTAGGGAATATGGGGACATATTATATAGGGACTATACAGGGATTATGTTCCCCTATTCCCTACTAACAACCACTAAGCCGATAGGTTTAGGGTCTCTTTGCTCTTTGCGCTATGCTTGTCCAGATTGGCGCGTGTTGAATTCTGCATACCGCTCTACAGCCATGTGTCGCACAGCTCCACTTTAAGGGGAGCAATCAAATTACACTGGCCCTTCCATCTGAATTGCCAGCATACGCCTCGGTGCCATCCTTCATACTGATCACCAACACAGTCCAACCAACTAAGAACATCAAGAAGGATGTTGACACCAGGAGTTGTGATGGGCAGATCCTCAATCTTGCTGAGCAGTTGGTCTTGGCCAAAAATCGCTTTAGCTCTCTGCATAGCATACACCACTTTCACAGCTTTGCAGGGCTCGAACTCAGCCATCCGAGACATCTCCAACATTCTGCGGCACATCACGCTGGCATCAGCCGACCCTTCGTCAATATCGTTTTCATTTCTGGGCTTCGGCCTGAGGGTCGCCCAGAAGGGCTGGGGACCTTCAATTGGCCTGGGTGCCAGCCAGGCTGTTTCTTTGCCTTTCACCATAGGCCCCTCTACAATGATATCACTTTCTGAGATGACCTTGCAGCAACGCTAGCTACGGGCAAGATGTTGCCTGAGTCTACGCCAGTCATGGAAATCAACCATGCAGACTTGGCAAACAGTGCCGACTGACATGCAACTTATGCGTGATGGCTGTGCATGAACTTTACTCATGTGGGATCCAAGGGCCCCTTTGTTTCCGCAAGCCACTCCACAGACCCCACAAACATGTCCGCCAGATTGCTGAGTGCAGCGTAGCTTACACCACCCAACTTTGGCCTTCTGCGCTTCAGTACGTTTCCAAGCTTGCTCAAAACTGTCCTGGCCCAAGCTTCTCCGGCCCCTGATGAGGTTCAACCTGTAGCGCTTAACGGCATTTTTAAGTTGTTTAGCATGTTCTCGCGCACTGCGTATGAACTGAAGCATGCCAACTTTGTCATCAGGAGCACTCTCAAAACCTCTGACGCATGCGACTCTGCACACTGCACATACATCAGCAGCCACCTGAGGCATCCACCAAGTATCACCAGCAAGCACACAAGCCAGGTATCCATCATCACACATGATTGCTTGCAAAAAGAAGCGTAAACGCGCCACTGTCAACGCTTCCATGGGGAGAGAAACGTCCAACATTGCACATACTTGTTCATCTGTCGCCCCTGCACATGTGACTCCTAACAAAGGTCTGCAACATCCACGCCAGTGATGCATGTAACCATCCGTGTAGCACGCAAGCTCATGCGCAGTACGCAATGCCCATGCTCCTGCACCAACCATGAGCTTGCTCTCAACGTAGCTGTGTACCAGATGTCTTTTTTCAGCAAGACTCAAGTTGGGGTTGAACAACAACTTTTTCTTCAAGGGCGCGAAGGCAATCTGGCTCTGTATTTTGCGGTGTTTGACATCAGGTTTATCACTACCTGAGTAGTGGATGATGCTCCCCAAGTGAGGGTAGCTGTCAGTCAGCACCACTTTGACATCCTTGCCATTTGTCAGCTCAACCGTGAGGACAGGATGGTCGTCAGCAAGCCACACTTTCCGCTCTTGTTGACTGTTCATCCCTGTAAACGCGACAAGGACCTCAGTTTTGTTTGGCTCAAAGTTAGTTTGCACCCCTATCAACGACATTGCATGCTGCGCATCTCTAACAAGCATCCCAACGCGCCCCATCAGTTCGGCCGCATCCGAAACCAGCGCTAATATTGCCACATCGTCTATCCATGTCGCGGGTGGCGCCTGTTGAACTGTGTTACTCAATGGGTCGATGGCTTCAACCTGAACACCCTGCTCATTCATCATTTTTTCCATGGACTTGAGGCTACACATGAAAATCGATTGGAAAAGAGCATCAGCCATGGGGGCCCCGGGTGTGGTCCCAGTCTTGGACCTGTAAACCCTGCAGCAAGTGGAATTGTCCTCCGGTTCCATCGTAAAGTACATGCCACTCAACATGGTGTGGACGAACCGTCGCAATACATGTGGAACCTCACACTGTTGCAGTATCGAAGGTCCGCTAAGGATAGACCACATTTGTGCCTTGATATCCTCGTCAGGACTTAGGAGATTCAACAGCTTGACGATCCTCTCGGTATCCTCCAAGTTGGCATGGTCGTCAAATAGATATTCTCTAACCGCTGCATAAAAGGCGGAAACGCCATCAAGAAAGATCACAGCCCCTGATGATCGTTCTTGCCATGCCCTTCGGATGTGCGATCTCACCATGGCCAGGGCATAAGCCCTTTTCCTGCCATGAAGTGGGGACCTATGTGATCAATCATTTTCTGTCGAATGCTTCTCGCTATGGCCTTCATGCTTGGTTCCACGAGAGCTATGGAACGCCAAGCCGGGATAGATCCGACCGGCTTATTGGGCTTGGGCATGGGAATGACCCAGACTTTACGCATGGCTTGTGGCGCAATTCCTCCAACAGCCATCTTCAACAATACCGGGTAAAAAAGGAGCGCAGACTCAAGTGGCGCAAATCTAAATGCTTCCGGCGGTATATTCCTCAAGCCCGCTGATTTTCCACATGGCATCCTAATGAAGGCATTAGCAAGGTCTTGCAGTGTGGGAAGGTGCGAAATCTTGTCGAAAGGGACTTCAGGGTGAGCCTTGACGGGCTCAAGCCCATGTTCTGCTACCCATTGAGGTCTGCAATCGCAGCGTTCGGCCTTAGCAAAATGATCCCCGAGCAAAACACAGGTCTCATGCAAGTTGCTGACCAACCGTCCATCTGCAAGCTTGATCATGGACGCCGTCCTAGGAGCTCTGAACTTTCTCCCTTGTTTCAAAATGCTTCGGATCAAGAAGGCCATCTGAGCAGGCCCTTGGTCTCGGCTATCCTCGACAGCCTTTTTGATCTGATTGGCCATGTCAAGCTTCAAGTGGGCCTTCAACTGACTGCCAAGTTGTCTGATGCGAATAGCTGCTCGTGCCGCATTTATTCTTCTCCTATGCAAGCCTCGACCAACCTTCAAAAAAGCCAAAGCACAACGGCAAGCCTTCCACGCATAGAACATGTCTGCCATCAACTGTTTGGATAACGCCACCATCATGTACCTTAAGGCTCTTCTATGCGCATGCTTGCTTCGCAACAGCTGCCAAGATGCATCGCTCACATGGGATTTACGGCGTACCGTCTTCTGCAACGGGAATGCATGCTCCAATCTCTCAACAAGCTGCTCATGCAAATGCTCAACGTGTGTATCAACGTCAACATGCACTCGGCTCGACCTCACGCAAAATTTGACCCAAACGATCTTTGTCACGCATCAAGGCTTGCCTGTCAATGCGAACTCTGTGGTCAACCTTGACACCAGTTTGAACTGTGACATCAGCAAGGAGGGGCCAATGGTCAATCTCAGAAAACATGTCAACCGACTGTTGTGGACATCCTAGCGTCCTGAATGCTCCTGCCCATTCCTTGGCCAGCAGGATGTAGTCGAGCTTGGCAGGGCGTTTCATAGGACTGACCCACGTGACAACTGGGCGGCCTTCAACATCTATGTGTTCTGTGAAAACAAGGCCAAATGCATGACAACACTCGACCAGATGTACTGCGTTGCGGTTGCATGGTCTTCTAGTACCATCTGATTGGACGCTGAATCTAGCGTTGGCATCCAAGAAAATGATTGGCGCTAGACTACCACGCAAATTGTGCAACAAGCTTTTGAACCCTGTCCACCACGTGTCAATCGTCTCATCTGGCAACTGCGAATGCGGCGCATGCGCCGAGCATATCGCACATCTGATGTCACCGTACACGCCAGCTACACACATGATGCGCGGGCTATGCTCAACGATTGCGAAGCTCTCAACCTTCCATCTGGAACGCAAGCTTATCCAAACCTGACTACCATATTGCCCACGCTCACTGGCCGAGCAAAATTTTCTATACGCAAAGTCGGGCCCAACTTCGTCACAGATCTCATGTTGGGTTGAGCGACCCTCTTGAAAACCTGCAACGTCAACAGAGTTCCTGTGCAACATGCAAGCAATTGCAACTTGATTGGCCTTACATCTCATGCTCAAAGCATTGTATGTTACCATGCGCAAGGTGGTCATCTGTAGGCCCTCATCCGTGTCCTCGCTCTCGTTCGGTTCATGTTGCAATTGCTCCTGCAGCTTGCATCGTAACATGCCATGGAAACATCCATCATGTGGGTCAAGGTGCGGCCACTGGGGCTGCTTTTTCAGACCGTCAACTGCCATCCATAGCCATGGCAGAATCCCTTCCAACACGGTGGTGCTGACTGTATCCTGATTCGGCCCATACGCATGACCCTTAAGAGCATGCTTGGCCAGCAAGTCAACAAGTTCATTCTGGGGAATGCCTGAGTGAGATTTCTCGTGCACGAATGCCACGTGACGTTCTTGCATTCTATGCACCATCAGCACACCAGACGCTGCTTTGGCAACGATATCATTGCACGCAGACTTCCCTTCTATGCTGTGCGCTGCACTCGTGCTGTCAAAGTGCACACAAATTCGGCATTCGCATTCCAGCAAAGTGACCAAAGCCCTGAGGATAGCCGCACATTCGGGCACGCATTATAACATGGCCCATCCCTCAAACCGGCCTTGTCATCGCATGGGCCTGACATGAAACCCAGCCAATGCCGTTCCTTCTCAAGCTCACCATAGCACGCGAATGCCCACGCCCCGCGTGAGGCTTCTCATCAAAAGCTCCATCCGTAAAGACATGCACGCAAGAGAACTTATCACTGCCCTTTTGCTTGCACATGCTCTGGAGGCAAACGTCTTTCTCTTTCGGAGGGAGCTCATGTACCATGGGGCAATCAACATGCAGATCACTCATCGAGTGGCCCTCGGTCAGATAATCCACCATGTCGGGAATTACACATGTGCTGATCTGCCTAGGCGCAGGCACAGCCTCTTCCAGCCGAATTACACGTCTTCCAGATCGCGGCCCGAAGCACTCTGCAGCATTCTTAGTGGCATACGTACAAGGCCCAGTCGCATCCTCACTGTTGCCCTGCTCAGCAACCTGAGGTCCACCCATCCTGACACTTGCATCCTTCACAAAATTGGGTATCAGCTCTTTGACTGTACCGTGCAATGGCCTATCTACTGATCTGCCACAATTGTCAACGTCTACCATCGGCTGAACAGCGCACTGCATCATGCCATTCAACTCGTGGCCCCGTAAAATTTCAAACGCTTGAACCTTTTCAGGAGTCAGCGTCTGTACAAAATTGTGGAAGCGTACTGTAAGGTGTGGTTTCTTCTCAGTACTTCCTAACACACCCTCTATATTTTTGGACCGGCAAGTGTCATCACGAGCATCGGACTCTCTAGCGTCACCGACGCTACTTGCCCCCGACATTTGCTCAGCCATGCCCTGCACAGTCCTGTTGCGTGCAACGCAGTCTACTTCTGGCCGCCTACAGCAGCAATTAGAAGCTTCATCGGCAATGGTACATGAGTATCTCGGCTCCAACCCTATCCGAGGGTCATGCAGCCGTATATTGACCCCACTGTTCTGCACAGCCACTGCGTATTCCATCATTGCACCTAACATGACCGCATGTTGCACTCCTACATAATCTGGCTCCGTCATTACAGAGTGGAAGCCTTTCGGCCCGCTCTGACCATAGTGGCTCATGAGCGGGCCGCCCGAAAATGGGGCTTTTTCTCTGTGTCTGATGAAATCGATTGTACGTCCGCATTTTTGCCGACCCGCCGTGGGGATCGAGATCCATCCCTCTTGCACGGCGTTTCCTTTTCTGATGCTTCCTTGTCTGCATCCTCCTTCATGGTGTCTATTGCCATTAGCAGTGCCTGCTCCTGTTGCTGTAGCTTCTGGCGATCTATGTTGACGGCCTCTGTAGCCGCTTCCTCCTTTGATATGTCCATGTCGGAAGCCTCTGCTGCAAGCAACATGTCTTTCCCAGCAATGGATACCACGGATGCTTTGGCACTCTCGATTGTTTCTAGCAGAACTGCTTCTTCCGAATCGAACCCTGCCAACACATCCGCTTTTTCTTCCAGTTGCCGCTTCAACGTATCTCCTAAGTTGTGTACATAGTCCCTCCAACGTTGAAGGTACCTCGATCGAATCAGTCTTACCGTCGCCAACTGTTTTGAAAGCGATGCTTGGGCTGAAACATGACGATGTAGGACTTTGGCCTGTAATGACGTACTCTGCTCTTGATGGCTGCTTATGATATCCCTCACCCTTTCCGGGGGCATGCTGATGTGCGGCTAATACCGCCACCAACTCTGTCAGCTGCCCTAGGTTTAGGGTCTAGGGTGGGTTCAGGGGAGGTTCTTTGGCGGTGGACATTTTTTTTAATTTGGAAAGCCTGGCTCCTATTTTGTTGGGTGTACGGTTGAGGGTTTGTTGGTGTAAAACATCTTGGAGGCTCCTGACTAAGTATAGTCCCTCTCAAGTACATAGATAGAACATGGCTTTGAATAAGATCCCCATATACCCCATATTCTATTTACTTAAGGGGGACTATATCCCCAAACCTCGGGATATTTATGGGCGTTTAGGCTCAACAGGTCATGCAGGATGTATAGTATAATGGGTTTAGGGTTTAGGGTTAGAGGCTATACTGGAAGATTTTTTGCAAGGAGCCTCGGAGCCACAAGTAAGGTTGCCAAGCACTGCGAGTGTTCCCAAGTTGCTGCAGAGGACGCCGTGCAAGTTCAGGAGGAGATTGGCAGAATAGCGATGCTGGATCAGTGTTTAAAAAGCTTTCTCCTACCATTGAAGAATCCAAAAACACAACCTACCAGATTGGCTTCTGAACTCCTACAGTTTGAATGTTAATTAGGCTTTCAGGATGTAATTAGATTTCTAGTCTAAGGTTGCAAAGCTTGCTTTTGTAAGGGAATATTCTGTAGGGATCCTCCTGCCCCTTTCGGCTTGGTGCGCTCGTATTGCCCCGTCCGGGGCAAACCTTAAGGGACTCGCTTTAGGGTTTAGGTAGGGATTAGGGTTTAGAGCCATTTTCTGCTACTGGATCCATGACAACCGTTGCTGCAGCAATGGCTACCACCAGCACGGTGCCAATTCTAAGTTTGGCAGCGATGCTGGCCAATTCTGCTTGCTAAGCTTCATGTTGCTGCTAATGTTTGACACACGGGTGTCTTGAAGCCCTATATGACTATATGACCCTGCACCCCAATTACCTTACACTTCGGATGCTAGGGGGGTTACATTACGGGGATTCGGGGGCTCATTTTCGTGGAAGGGAGTAGTCAGTTCCTGCTCCAAGGATATGTCATCCTTAGACCACGCACTGCTACTGCGATGCATGTGTCAAAGGCCCTAAATCTTCAACTTTGCAACCGTGCCCAAAAAATCTCCCCCCTGCAGAAGATCTGGCTGAACACCTCATGGTTCTACTTCTGTTTCCTCCTCCCCCAGGCTCGAGCTCAGAGTCCAAGAGTGCGGAAGCTGTCCGATCTGCTTAGAGGAGATGATGTTTTTCAGCTGGTTCTCTCCAGGGGAACAGGGAAGACCCTCTCAGAATCACTGAGCCCCCTGCTATTGCAATCCTTTGAAGGAGTGCATCGGTTTGAGAAACTCGGCTTACCACCACTTTGTGCGAGGCAGAAAAAAAGGCGCTTTTGATGTGAGGGTTTGAATTTTTAAGGATTCTGGGACATGGACATTCCATGAAGATTGCCAGCATCAATCTAGCGAACGCATGTGCTAGCTAAACTCTTCTTTGTCCTTGAGGTGTCGGAGCCCGAAACCCTGAAGATCATAGAAACTCGAAAAATCGGCCCTCTCAGCCCTCCTACTTGTTTGGACCGTAATCCCTCTGGGAGAGTGTAGTGCAAAATTCCCAATCTCTCAAAAACCCCCAGTCGCGACCGCAAGGCCCTTACAAGTATTAAACCTGCAGTTGTGCCTGCAGTTGGGCTGGACATATTGTTTGCCTTGCGCTGCTTGCCATGCGAGCGTTGAAAGCCACAAGCCCAAACACCCAAACCTCAAACGCCCTAAACCTCAAACCTTGTTCTCCAGCAACTGCTGTAAAAAGATTACGTTTTATGTCAAGCCATGTTCTGCAGCAGCTGTTTAAAGACACAAAAAATACATCACACCTTGTTCTTCAGCAAGCGTTGGTGACTTCGTGAGGACATCGTGGCAGAAGACGCGGTCATGCGCTGCAGCGGTGCAGGTCATAGGGAAACTGTGATTCAAAAGTCTTTTCAGGGTTCTGCTTTAGGCTTCAACATGTTTGAGAGCTTAGGGATCCCAAATTGTTGTCCCTAAGTATCTGTGACAACCAGGGGGCTATTTCAAGAAACTGCCCATTCAGCAGATCTTGCAGTATCTCAAAGAACCCTCGAGGAGTTGCAGTACTTCCGGTATCCCCCATGCAAGAGCGCAAGATTTCCCAGATCCACCATCAGCCACCCTACTGTTTTGCGCAGCCTATGTTTTGAGCAGGGGGTGGCCAACATCATCTGCATCACTACTTTCATGCAGCCTGCTTGCGTCAGTGGATGCTGGGCTCGCAACGAATATCCTCCCAAACTTGCATGGAAAATAGTCAAAAGGAAATGCCACCAAGATTACCGTGCCCTCCAAGAAGGGACACATAGGGTTTCGTGAGGAGGGTAATTCTGCGCGGATATGATCTCACGTAAACCTCAGCCCTGAACCTGCTTCGGAAGAAGAAGTCCCCCCCAAAAATGTCATTAGATGTACCGTCTAAGGATTCAGACCGCCTCGGACCCCAAGTGCCCCATGTGCCGAAGCAAGCTGCAGCTGCATGGCGGGCGCCTGGAGAACTTCCTGGAAGGCTCGGTAGAAATAGTTGATACCTGGGTAGGCCCCTGGGATATTTAATATTTTCCCTACCGGGTTTAATAAGGGACTCTATATACTAATATTTTCAAAGGGTTTTAGGGGCCAACCCAGATACTCAAAATCAAAATCCTGATCATCTTAAGTACCTTATACCCGTGGAGTTTCGGTACTCTCCTGCGCCTAGAAGCTGTAGCCTACTTACTGAAGATGGAATTCTTGCAACGTTCAGTCTAGAAAGGTCATGCAGGATTTTTGGTATCCAGCGGCGTTGAGTAAGGCCTTTTTCCCTTTGTGGGGTCCTAACTACTATATTCTTAAAAGAGGGTGACCTTGTTGGTCCTAGGTTCCTGGGGATCCTAGTATCTACCACCGGACTTGCATTCCGCTTGCTCCAGGCAGAACCGGGGATGTCAGCAAGAACCCCTTCCTCTGAGTAAAAAAGTAGGTTGTCAAAAGTCTGGTCACCAAAATGCTAAGGGCCATATCATAACAGGGACCTAAAAGGTTCAAAGGGACCACAATTTTCACATTGTACTTACCATTTAGGATGGTTTAGTCGAATGGAAAAGCCAATGGAAACCACGAATTATGCCACTTAGGGTTTAGATTGAAACCTTGCTCAAAATACAATCCCCCCACCCTACTGCCCAAACAAAAAAAAGTAGCGTCATGTTTAAGGAGAGTATTGATATTCAGGAGGGGAGGGTTCCGCGTCAAAGCACTGTTGAGATCCACCCCAAACCCTAACCCCCTCAAATTGGCTGGAGCCTGGGAGCCCGACTGTCTTGGGCTGTTTTCCTGCTTCATGTGGGAGAGCGCTGGGTCAATCCTGGGACATGTTTCGCCTTATTTGCTGCGGACTAAAGTTAGGTTGGTGGGACCTATGGGCGCATGTATAGCGGATTAAGGGTGGACCCTTGAGGAATATTATGATAAAGTCCAGCGCTCATTTCTATGTAGCGTGTTTATAAAGGTCCAGCTCAATTGTGATATAATATCGTGTAAGCATCTTTCAGACGCACCCAATTTTGAAAAGACAGGTACTGCCACACTTTCCGCGGATGAGCGGTCATATCTGCAAGCTATGCTGGATGGTGCCAATGCCCGAGACATGGCCGCATTGACGAATGCTAGGTTGGGCTTGCATGTATCTTGTGATAATAATCATGGTGCTGTACGTTTTTCCTTGTTGTGTCGTTTTTTGCCGCTTTCCATTCGTTGATTTCCAAGACGGCTACTTTTGCGAGATTTGTCATGATAATGGAGCGTGCGCTTTATGCGGATGAGTTGCACTCGCTTTTCTTGATCGTAGCATTACAGCAAGGCAGTACGGAAGTGAGGCCGCAGCTATCAGCAGATTTAGAAGTAAATATTCTAGCGTATGCCACATTTGTAGTCATTCTGGCTGTGCCTGTGCTCTGCCCTTGCAGACATACTGAACGCTTCATGTGTCGTTTACAATGCAGTAATGACGGAGAAGACGCTACAGCCAACACGGGCATTGACCTCACACCACCAACCAAGGGCAAGACTGGAGCGACATGAACTTCATGGAGCGCACGGGATGCTTGGTTGTGATTGCCTAGTCATCGGGAAATTTCGCGAGTGTTGGAGGCTATCAGATTTCTACCCCTTGAACTTCCCTGGAAGAGCCTCCCCACAACAACTGATAATAATTGCAGAGACAGCAGGGCCCCGAAAGGTTCACCTACAGCGAGGGCATTTCTTCTAAACGGACTTTTGCCCCAGCTCTGCACATTCATAGATGAGAGCAATGCGGGGTTTACGCAATTGGGCCATGACAGGCATATCCTAAACCCTAAACCCTAAACCCTAAACCGCATATCTTTGAAGGGGCTTCTTGAGAGGCGAGACTCACTAGGGTTGCATGGATACCTCCCTGCGTGAACCACCCAATCTAGGGACCCTGTAATGGAAGCCTAAATACCTAAGCCTAAATAACGTGATGCTAGACGCGGTTCTATTTTCTTCAGTAGCAAACTAGCCATCAGAAGGAACTTTTAGAGGCTCTTTTGATTAAGCAAGTCTACCTACTATCCCCAACAACCCCCTCTATGAGCCTAACCCCTTCTAGAGAGTCTACAAGTACTCTTTTTACACTTATCCCATATACCCCTGTATACACCTACATACCTGAATCCTAATACCTATACCCCCAAACCTTAAATCCTAAACCGTAAGCCCTAAAACCCCAGGCCCTGTATCCGCTAAACTAAATCCTAAACCCTAAGCCGCTCTATCTCCCCTAAACTCTGAATCCTAAACCGTACCGGGTCGGTGAGGTTATGCTGGAAGCTTGGCGGCCTCCGCGGCAGCCGGGTTTGCGCAGGCACGTCAGTTCAAAAGGGGCTAAGGTCAGGGGTTTAGGGTTTAGGGTCAAGATTCCCAGGACCCCCACCTGCCCACCTAGGGAATTTCTACATTAAGGGGAGATACTTCGTAGAAAAACCCGGATATACCCCTAGGTTCCATATCATTTGCAAGTTTGTCCATTTGATTCTCCATTATTAGCGGTATTATCTGTAATTAGCTTATACATCCCCATGTATCTCCATGTAACCCCTTCATAATCCCCAGAATATGGGTAATATATCCTCTAGAACCTTTTGGGGGAGGTGAGTATCAAGAGGACCCCCTGGAATTTCTGGGATTTGTATATGGGGTCGCTTTGAATGGGTGTTCTCGTGGATTTAGGGATTATGAGTACATATGTATAGAGGTTAGGGTATCACACACCAAAACGAAGAATGAAATGGAAACTCAAATGGAGACTAGGGGTTTATCGATGTGGTCCATAGGGACAGACAAGGCCTCAACTGCTCAAATCTTTTTAGGGCTATTGCAGATTTCAGCATTGAGAGTTGATCATTCATTATGAAGGTGAGGTTATGTGTCCACCCGCACTGGCGAGTACAGCCACTTTTCAGTTCAGGTTGCCCCAAGCAATGCGACGCGCTGGCCCTAAGGGCTACCAGCAGGTTCTGTTGACATTCCTGCCGTTCTAGTGCCGGACTTTCTGGAACCGATATAGCCCATATTTGTACATATTCTGTATGTTTATATGTATATATATATAGAGATACTTATTCCCTACATGCCCTAGAACCCTCGGACGGGAGCCTAGGTCCCCCCATAGCAAGAGGGAGAGATGATAACTAAGTAATGTATCATCATCAGCTTCTCGGTTTGGTTGGCTATTCAGAAAAAGCCGCCCTCCTTACAGTATGTTCGTCCGCGCTCCGCGTTCCCACCCCCCCCCCCCCATGGTCCCCATCCGGGAATAAGCCATATCTACAACCTCCCAGAACCATCTACAATTCTATTAAAAAAACCGCTATAAACCCTCTAGAAAGATCTGTATAAAACTCTATGAAACCTTCAGAAACCCTCTAGACACCCCTTCAAAAAATCTTTGGAGACCTCTAAACACCTGCTATTGAATTAACGAACTGTCTGCAAACCTTCTTTAAATCTTATAGTATAGAACCCCGCCATAAACACTATAAGCTTCAAAAGCTTAATCTAAACTTCTCAATCAAACCACCAAACCCAGACCACAGGACCACAGGGGGGCGGGTAGGTTAGTCCTATTCTATATCATGGACATCATGGACCTTTGGGGGGGGCATATTATATCCCATGGTATCTCCCGATGCCTACAAATTACGGATGCCCGCTGCCGCCATGCACGGACAACAGGAGTGACGGAGATGCGTGATGCCGCTTCCGGGGTCGCTCGCGGATGGTGTTGCGGGTATGTAAGGGCCGGCCTTGTGCGCGAGAGACAAATAGCTCCCTGGGGGCAGCGCGAAGGCTAAAAGCAAGTGAACGGGGAACACTTTCCCAGCAGAGGCTTTGCAGGCTGGATGCAACAGGCAGCGTGTAGGTTGGATCAGGCTGTCTCAGACCAAACCCTGCATTTCCATCATGATCTACCCCTTGCATGTGCGAGCCTTGACCATGTATTCTAGGTAATGATAATGCGAACTGGATGGACTGCTGGCGGCATTGCCCCAAGAGCTGACCTGCGAGTGGCACAGCTTGCGGGAGCAGGACGAATTCAATACAGTGCCACATGCCTAGGGCAAGTTGTTGTGGGATGGTTTACATTGGCTTTGCATGATGTCGCGACCTTGTGCCAATCTACTGTTTGTCATTTGCTCAGCCCGACGCGGTGATTACCACTGCGACTCTTCAAACTCGCGCTAGGGCTACTTGTCGTGGCTACCTACCACTGCTGCTGCAACTGCTGCTACTGTTACTACTATTAGTCCTACATATTACTACTGCTGCTGCTGCTACTACTACTACTACTACTACCACCACTACTACTACTACTACTACTACGACGACTACGACTACGACTACGACGACTACTACTACTACTACTACTACTACGACGACTACGAC